TCCAAGACTAAGCTCCAAAGAATAAAAAAGGTTACTCATTTTACCAAGGTCTGTTAGTCTCTTCTTAGTTTTCTGAGAATAGAATATTGAGGTTTTAAGGTAATTTTTTTGGTTTGTCCCAAAGCGCTGAAGTTGGTTTCTAAACTGGGCTGCAAAAAAAATATTCAGAAGCTTTAAGCTGATGTATACTGTAAACTTACATAATGATTATCCAGTGAACAGTGTGCTCAAGTTACTTCTTGGAAAACTCGCTGTTGACAGACAAAGCCGACCAACCATGCTGAAAAAAATGTCTGATCCATTTTGAAAACACACGGAGTAGCCAAAACTAACCTGCCCACACTCAGCACCTACTGCTAAAATAAACAGAGTAGCAAAGACAAAACTACTAGATGGGGGGGGAAAAAACCAAAAAAGTATATCAAGAAAAGGGAAATCTTAATAAATAAGAATACAGTTCGCCATACACCCTGAGATTTTAAAAAGTTATGTCTCAGGTGGCTTACAAACAAGGAGAACTATGCAGACATGTTGTGCTAATGTGCAAATAGTAGCTGAAAACAAGAACTGGGGTGCTGCCAAAGTACATTCAGATGTATTTCATCAGACTGAGATAACAAACCAAAGTAACCTGATGGAAAAAGTCCAAATCTGAACACAACAGAATGCAGTGAAACAGGTGGTTTTAGCTATGTTGTACATACATACATGCATACAGTACTGCCATGTATGCTCTTCTTCCCCTAAACTTTTATCAGCACGTGTAAACACAACAGAGAGACAGAAATGCTTTGGCTGAAACCAGAAAAATTGCACCTTTGTCCACACGGCATTCCATTTTTTTTAAATGTATTTATTTATTTTTGCTTTAGTTTAACTTACTGGTTTCCTGAAATCTTTACAGTTCTTGACATTAAAAAGCTCATGCGCCTCTCATCACAAGTATATCCCAGTAATACATATTTCCTCTCATATCTTAATCCTCATTTATTCTCTAACTCCAACTATGCTCCAGCTGTGTGCCTTCAGCCTGGTCCTTGTGATACAAAAACGCGTCCTGTGCATCAGGTTTGCTCTTCTGTTCCTGTTTATCAACACATCTGCCTCTCATAAATCAATTCAAATACTATAAATCACTAAAATGCAGAAACATAAGCAGCAAGAAACAGCTGATAATTATGAAAAGCTACAGCCTTTAGTTGGACTGCTTCCAGAACTGAGTCGAGGGTTTTGACTATGCCACAGTGATTAGCTCATGCACAGAGTATTGACTAATGTTAACACTGGAGGGCTGTTTCACAACACAAGTGTGTTTTGCATGAAACTATTGTAGCTGTACTGCTCACGCACATTTTTAACCCAAAATCTATTCTAATCTAAAAACACAAACATCATTAATGTTAAAATTATGGGATTTTGTACATTTTTTAGGTCCAATGTTGCCTCAACAGATGACATGAACTTCCATATCAACAATATTAAGAATGCAACAAGCACAGTTTGAATATAATTTATACAGCCACCAAACAAACCTGAGAGATCAAATGGCTTGTCAAACTTCAATTGATAAAGTTGTGACTCATTTATCTCACTGAGGATATAAAAGCACGAGAGAAGCTTTAAACAGGCTGTAGTTGGTGCAATAAAAGATATTTATTAAATCAACTCTTGGCAAAAGATTTGCTTCTGTGCACAAGGTGTTTACCTGTTATTTTAGAGCCTGACCTGAAAAAATGAAATCAGTGGGGTGTTTTGGACGTATCTAACCTAAGACAACAGCAACACTGTACAAATGCATCACTACTGGTGTTTTTCACACATACTGAGAAGCTGAAATGAACTCTGGAGGGTTTAGAACCTGTACGAAAAACTTCTTATTCTTCCGTGTTAAATTTTTCTTTCCAGTGTCTGCTACACTGACAGCAGTGCTCCTAGTACATGTGCGAACACAAATTGCAATCCAAAGTCTAAGTTTTAAGAAGTCCTGATTCTGCCTTTCAATTTTCTGATCATGCTGCCTTGGTGATACGACTGATAAGAGTAACTTTCATCTAAAACCTATAAAGTTAGCTCCTGTCAGATATGACAGTATGCCGGTTCTATAGATCCGCCCTCTTTACGAACTATCATCACTGCCAATATCGTAAATCATATAATACAAAGTCAGCCGAAAGCTCTGTTCTTATGATTAAGACAACAAATGACCTTTAATACGTGCACGGCCAAATCCTCGGTTACCTTTATGGTTGTGGTTGTTGTTGTTCTCGAAGTAGAACAGTAATTTCCTTTTATGCTTCAGCTCCTCAACACACACCTTTGATCTGCAAACACCTGATTTCCAAGCCATTAACGCGGTGATAGCTGTGGGAAGCAGGTTGGGACTTGAAGGCACACAGGAAGACGAGAAAACGGAAGGAGATGTAAAGAATGAATAAAGGAGCCACCATCCACTCTATGTTCTATGGCCACAGCAGCCTCTGGCTAATTACGATAAGCAAATTTAACTGATGTAGACACAAAACCATGCAGATACTCTGACTTCAAAGCTACGCTATCAAACGCACGCATAACCAGGCTGTGATGTTTTCAGAAAACCTACTTTAATCTTCTGCATTGTAGGCGAACACTGCGGTAAGTTGATCTCTTCAGCGAGGAGAAAGATGACTGACATCCCTAAAGGACCATTACATACACACAACAACGGTTTGGAGGATATAATAAATTTCAATGGGGCAGTTTGGTTTTTGTGACAAATGAGCCCTGAGTAAATTTTACTCCAGAGATACAGAATTTTAAAAGATGATTCGTTTCTGAGCAGATTTAAGGGCTGTTGTGGGCTCTGACCTACAAATCTATCCAATTGTTTGTGCCTCTGAGCCACTACAAACTGTCGTCACCACAAAAACAACACTGCTAGGACTTTTAAAGTAACTTAAGATGTCGAGGGTAATGAGAAAACTTTCTCTCAGGCTCACTCCTCTGCCTTCTAACAACTTTTTTTCCATATGCTTTGAAGCGTGTTCAGAGGTTTTTGAATTAACTCAATACATCAAAACCAGTAGTATTTACTACTGACTCTATCTTTACTCATTAGCAGTATTTTCCTCTATCCAGGACATGTTTTTCAGCAGCTGTCAGAGCTCTCTTGAGCATAGAAGGTCTTTAATCACTATGAAAAAATCAAACAACACTATCTGCAGGATGACAGCTATTAGGTAGATAAAGTACACATACAATTAAGCATCAAATTATTGTAGTTTAATTCCATTATTTAAAATATAATACAGCTTTTAAAAAAACATGTGTCAAGTTCTTTTCTTTTTAATATTGTCAAAACATTTGTTAGCCTTTACAAAGGGTGGTTAACAACTAAAAGGTTCAAACCACATATAAGATGAGTACAGCTTCTTGTTGACAACTGGAACCTTAATGGAAAATATGGTGTGTAAATAAAGTCATTAAAGCTAATTATAACAGCCTAGTACAGTTGTCATGTGGACAGCTTATCTACCTGTGATAAAGATGTATCAGACACCTGTGTATTATAGCTCATTACTCAAGCTTGCCTCTCGGCTGTGCAGTAAAACCTGAGCAGCAGAACACAAAATGATGAGTGCTATGTGATACCGCGAGGACGGGCGGGAGAAAGTGATGAAAGAGCAGACAAAGGATGACGCAATGTTAAATCTCACTCCTTCACAGCAAACAGAAACATTGTGTGAGAGGGTGAGAGAGAATGATGACTCCATGTTATCCCCCCATCTCTCCCTTTAGCTCCGTTCCCTCCTCGCTCTGCTGTGAGTGGGGTGATGAATGTGTGTGTCTGTCTCAGTTCCTATTAATAGTATGGTGCAGGGCTGGAGGTGTCAAAGCTGGGAAGGGATGAGATCTCTCACTCTCTCTCTTATACACAAGCAGAAGTAAAACAGACTACCAGAGGGTCCAGATGTAGCAGAGAATAGGCGGTGGTGGGGGGGTGGGCTGGAGAAAGCAGAGAAAAGGGGGTAGAGGTCGAAGGCAGCAGCAGAGCTTCAAACAGCACACTGACGGATTTACTACCCATACGATAAAGCAAACAACCCACAGAACTTCTCAGCGCAGTGGGGTGAAAGACCGGACCTGCACAGTAGAGCTACACCGACAAAGACAGCCGCGTACACTATCAAACAGTGCTTTAATCCTGTCACCACTGTGCTACAACTGAGCTCCATCAAAGGTCACGTAAAGGATGAAGAATAGGTTTGCTGGAGGAGACAACCGGTTGCACACTAAATCTTCTGCATCTGTGTGACTGTTCCTACCTCTTGAGTTGGTAGCCAGGTCAGCCACCTTCTGAAAGGCGTCCAGGAAGGCAGCCACAGCAACCACTGTCGCCCTAGGAAGAAAAAAAAAAAGAGGAAGACAGGTCTTTAATAAAAACTACAATTACCAAATCAGGGCTGTATGCCTGCAGCAACCATTCAACTTACAATTTACATTTATATCTGTCCAAACTCGTAATATATGTAGTGAAGACTTCAAAGTGTAAAGCGCATTCACAGAAACCAAAAACTGAGTAAAATTCCTGGAATTAGTCCTACAACAGCAGTTACCTGTCACTCAAATGGGTCATGGCTTTGATTATGCATAACTTTAAGCCCTAATACTCTATAGGGACCAAATTAGTTTTTTCTCTCTGTAAAGTTGGGTATTTAAACATGGGACTTAATGGCCATAACTTCATACAGTGACTTTAACCTTTGACCGATTCTAATGAGCTCATTCTTGAGTCCAAGTGAGTGTTTGTGAGTGAGAATATGACAGGCCAAAAACGAAGAGGCATGAAAAGGTTTTAGCAAAAACAAAACAAACAAACAAAAAAAAACTGTACATAAAAAGAAGAATGATACCAGTACAATAAGAATAGCAGAATCATAAATTCAAATCCCTCAAAGGCAAACACACACAAAAGGGAATGGCTGATTAACTGCAGTAATTACATCTATGTGTTGGCAGACACACATAAACAGATCAGATGAACACAGATCTTTCTTTCTGGCGGGTAGTGAATGAAACGTAGTTTGCAAGCGTATGCATACATGTGCGTGCGTTTGTTTGACACTTAAGCTAATGACGCTGATATCAGCCTTGATAATTTCACAATTAAAGAAATAGTGGCAGAGTACGTACTGTATGCACTGTTCAGTGTGTGCTTAGAACGTGCCCTGCTGTGAGAGGAATGTCTGAGTAATTACTTAGAGACCGCTGGAATCTGTCCGGCTCAGCAGAGCAGCTCTAGAGTTTGCCACACTTACAGGTCAGTGAAAGGATCAATGTGGGATCTACCCTGTTCAGCTCTACACTGCAAGCAAGTTCACAACTCAAATCTGCTTCTCTTTTATCTTGCAAAGCATTTATAAAGTGAAGTGTGACAAACAGCGTGTACACAGCAGACCAAGAACAGGGCAAAATCCAGTCCATCATAAAAAGTGGTTGGTGTAAAATTGCCCTGTTTTGCTCATTACAGAAACCATCTTATTGGTATCCAGACTGACTATCAGGCAGCTTGACGGAGCAGCTGACTGGCTAACATTCAAACACTGGCCTACTTCAGAAACAACAGACTTCTTATGATTAAGATCACAGGTATGAAGATGAAAGTCTCTCCGTGTGCACACGTGCATGTATGTGATATCCGATCTGCCAAACCGAGACTAGACTACTTACCAGTCATGCATGCTACACAGAGAAAACACAACGGATGACACATTTTCCAAAGCACGTCTTGCAACAAAAGGTTGTTTGTTCTAAACCCTGAGTATGTTAAGCTGTAAACACTTGTTAACTTCCACTGGACACAACCTGGGACTTTCCATGAACACTCCAGTCAGATATCTTTCACAAATGGGGAAAGCAACAGCTGAATACAGGACAGAACAGAAGAATTGTTGCAGTGAAATGGTAAGATGCTAGGTTTACTCTGTGTATCCAAAGATGCACGTAAGGAGAGTGTATAGACGCTGCTAATACAACAATGTCTGACAAAACTTCAGCAGTTGAGTGTGGGTAATGTAGGCACCAGGTTTTGACAAGAAAGAACAATGCAAAGAGTTCAAAATGTTCTTTCTCTGCTTACACTAATTTTAAATCGGTCCAACAATGTTCATTGTGGTATTCTTTTTTAATACATGTCCTCTGGGATGAAAGGAAACCGGAGCACCCTGGGGTTTCAACCTAGAACCAGAGCTCAAAATGAACTCAAAGACATTAAAGGTTCATTGTGCCTAAAGTACATTACTGTTGCTGAGCTGCATGATATGGTGAAAAAAAAATCTTATCGTCCTGTTCCAAGACTGTAAAAGTTGTTACCGACTTCACAGACAGCAAAAGCAGATTAAGTGATAAACAACCCTGACTCAAAGCACAGTGACAGGCCTTATTATTCTTCCATACATCAAGTATTAAACATGGAACAATCTTTTACTTTATCACTTAAAAACTTTATCTAATATTGGCTAACAAGTGCTGTGTTGTTGCAGAGCTGACCAGAAGATCCCAGGGTGTGTCCTGCAAATGGAAAAAGAAACATACGCTCAAGCACACACAGATTCCTTTCTATTTAAAGCCCAGTGCGGGCACCAGCACAGCCTCTAACTGATATTCACCACCACTAATTTATGATTGGTCTATGGATCAAATTTTACATGCACTTGCAGCAAAGTCGCGCTCATTCAAGCTGAACTGATTAATTTGAAACAGGCTTGTGTGATAAGTGGTTAGAAGCCTACTTTTGGCATGAAGCACGCTGTGGTAGTTTACAATTAGTTGCCACGACCATGTGTGTTTTCCTGCGCCATGCTTTTACAAGAGAAATGCCTAGTTATTAAACTGGTTTATCCATTCACCACACTTTCACTTTCTAGTTTTACATTCCACAGAGGATCATTAAATAGGCGGCATTAAAAAAAATAAACTCTTTAATACTTTCTGGCTCAGTCAGCAGGAGAATATGGTAACTTCTCCTCTCAACATATAAATGAAAATGAGGCTGTTAAAGCAGACTAATCAAGTTTTAATTTCAGCTCTGACAGTTGGCCAAACGGTTTAAGAATAAAAAGAAAGCTACAAGCTAAGCTCTGCACAGAACCCCAACAATGACCTGACTGCTACCACTGGTCTTGAAATCTGCACAGTGTTCTCGAGTCAAGACAAACGACTTTAACATATCTATTCCACAAGGCCTCGGCCAGGCCAACCCAAACTCCCTATGGAGGCTGCCATAGTACAGCAGTGGGCTCTTTATGACAATGATACATTCAGCACTGCTGCCCTCATCTATTCTTAGTTCAACAGAAACTGGAATGCAACTGGAGTAAATCTTAATCACAGAAAAAGGTTGTGTCGATTCTGCTCCATTTGTTTCAGACATATGCAAAAATTAAATTGTATGCACTTGTCTCTTGATCAACCCATGAATTTATTGATTGATCAGTCTGCTTGTTAATCCACCGATCACATATTTCAGTGTTCCTTCTTGAGTTCAATTAAGTTTTATAAGCACCTAGTAATACTTCAAATACATCCTCAGCTGTATTTTTAAGGTTTTGAGGTGGTCTGTTTAAACACAAAATTAACTTTAAACCAGAAAGATAGAGGCCCGTGTGTAAGCCGAGCTGCAACCCAGCTGCATCAACCGAGGCCCACCAAACAGACCAAACACTGACGAGTTAAAAGAGGACTGTGATTAGAAATCAGTTAGCCTATATTCCACCCTGCCCTCTTTCTTCAAAGCTCTGATCTGTACGTGTGTGTGTGTGTATGTGATGGCTTCTTAAAACCAGAAAGGGCAGAAAAAAAACACCAATTCTGAACCAAAGAGGGAAAAAAAATGACAGAACTGCCCCAACACTGTAATTGGTTGATTTCCTAGTTGCTTTGTGAGAAGGGAGCAGAGGGGCTAAATTACAGAGTAGGCTGCCTCAGGACGTCATTACACTCACAGACATATGCCGCTACCACTGCTGGCTAGTCACTTATCCAGGCCAAGGCGGGAAGGTGGGCGTGTTTGTGTTTTACTGCATGTATGTGTTCCTCTGTGTGTGTGTGTGTGTGTGTGTGTGTGTGTGTAGTCCAGATTACAGAGATCCGTGGGTTGGGGGTTTGCACTACAGTCAAAGGGGCTATTTTGGCATTTGTAGTGGCTGGAGACAGGCTTGAAAGCAAAAAGTCGTATTTGTAGGTCACACTTATTAGTGCTCCAGCAGCAAGGGCATCGTTACAGGCAGCCATATGCCACAACCACTGCAGCCCGGAGCAGGGCGTAGGCGAAGCTTAATCGGGCAGCAGCTAGTACTAAAACATGGTCATCTGTCTATGAATGACACTCAGCTCCTTCCGCAGAGGAGGAAGCAGTCTTTTCTGAGAGCACTGACTGACTGATGCTGTAAAACGAATGAGTCAAGGTGCGGGACAGTCATGCGTTACAGCCTGCTCATGAACTTTTTACAAGAATCTCCATCGTCAAGCTGCCACTCAGCTCCTAGCAGAGATCGTACTGTAAGATGAACTCACCTTTTCACCAGTCAGGGTACCTAGAGGGTTTGTACTTTTACCAGTTCCCTGACACAAACATTATACTGCCAAAAAAACAGTCATTAGCAACAAGGTCACCAATACTCCCCTGAGCTCTGGCATGACAGGGTCACATATTTAACCCCAGAATGATGGAGACACTTGAATAACATATCACCATTAATCAGCCTTCATACTGAGAAAATGGACGAATGGGACACAGAGTGGCCCCTGTAAAGTATTGTTAAGTCACTGAGCTTTTATACAACTGTCAGTGCTAGTCTGTCTGAGGACACGTGGACACTTAAATGGCGAGAGAACTGCCATGCATTGTTAATCAAAGAGTAATTCAGACCACAGGACATCTGTATTTGCAGTACTCGCTGGACAATGAGCTTTTATTTCAGCTGTCATAAGTTGTTTGTCTCGTGACACGTGGCCACTTAAAACCAACTAGGAGAGGTGGCTGGGATTGGCATCCATTGTTAGCCAAAGACTTGGAATAATTCTGGCAGGAGGTGTGTAAATTTACAGTATTAAAAAGACAAATTAAATCAGGCGGAAGGAAGACTACAGAGGGGGGGAAGGACACGTAACAACCCCTGGACAGTATTGTTAAGGGATGAGGCTTTTATGTAAACGCCATTACTCGTTAGCCTGAGGACACGTGGCCACTTAAAACTCCTGGGAATGGAATTGCCACTGACGTGTAATGTAAAAGCCCAGATTTAGTACAAAAACAGTTGCTCAAATGAGATTTTTTTTTCTGTGAAAGGGTGCTACCATGGGGGACCAAAGAGGTTATGCAATAGTGACAGTGGTACTTTCCTGACCATGGATTGTGGTAGTTTGTACAAATGTATGTTTCTAACAATCTGTAGATATTTAGAGACACATTTTAATAAAATTTTGTACAAAACTTGCCTCAATTTCCAGAAAATTAACAGAAGAGAATGCAAGTTAACACGTTTTAATCCGCTGCACGTTTTAATCTCCAGTAAGGTGCAAATCTTAGTGACTGTGGAAGATCATGACTTGTTCACTAAGTTTGATTCAATGTATTTTGTATTTATGGATACATCATATTCTGATTACTTTTTGATATAGGTAGCGCTTCCACTTGAGTTTTCAGAAATGCAAATTGAAAATTCTCATAAAAGCCAGCAGACCGAAATGCACCCAATGTCGACGTCAAGCTAACTAAAGTTAGAAAAAAAAAGCAATAATCAGTTTATTACTGAAGTTCTTGGAAAAATTAAATGATCAAGTGAAAATGCTAACTTCCCTTCTTTCCTTCCACATGCTTTGTAATAGTCACAGAAGCATACAAATTTGTTGTACGTGCACACAAACGTGCTCTCACCTGAGTTGCGACTGTAGTTTGCCCGCCTTGTTGATAAAGTCCTCCCAAATTGGATAGCTGCTCTGTGGAGGGGGAGAAGAGACAGAAACATAACTAACTCAATCTCACTATCAGAACAGATTTCACTTTTCCCACAGTTACATAACAGTTCAGCCAATACAAGGTTGCCTCACCTCACCTTCAGGGCTAAACAGAACTAACTAAGGCTTAAACTTTCCCATACATGTAAATCCAATTGTGTCACCCGAAAACACTAAAACATGTTTTTCCAGCTTGCTGCCAGTAGACCTGAGCGTTCCTAAGAATTTCGAAAGAAAATCAGTTGTATGCAAAAATATTTCCAAATGTCTGCCTTTCTTTTTGGATCTATTTTGTTGAATGCACATTCAATTGAAGAACAGACATTACCATCGTGTCCTGCATGTGTTAGGCTGCAAAATAGGTCACAGGCCTCTTTTGGAAAGATCCCCACACAACAAGAGCACTAATACTACGGTATAATGAGCCCGGCTCCCAATGGGACTCTAAATTTTCCTAATTCAGGTCCTGGGCCGAAAATAGGTGGAGAGCCTTTTATCGAAAAAATTTCGCCGAGAACAAGTGTCCTAATGCTCTGAAAGGAGGACGCTGGTAAGACAGCACAGGACAAAATGATGACTCCAGCATGAGCAGATGTTTGTCAATGATGTGCTACTACTGTCGCTGGCCTGAGGAATGTCATGTTATGCTGTCAAACATTACACCCAAACACCAACTCAACAGTCTGCCTACAATACCTCTTTCCCATTCTTTGAGTCTCCCTAAGAACACCATTGTTCCTCTTCCATCTCCCTCTATGCATCCTTGTTTCTGTTCACTTGAATCTCTAAAGAGCACCGTGACTAACAGGCTTTCTTTTCATTCCTCATTCCTCTTGTTGGCAGATTTGGCTTGCATAGAAGTCAAACAACATACATGTTTTGTTTCATTTGCTAGAACCACTCTTAAGCATGTTTGTATTAATGTTATCTTGCAGTAGAGTTACAGTAAGACACAGGGGCAGAAGTGCTGAACGTCTGTGCAGTTATTCATAACAAACTTTCTGCCTCCAGAGGATCTGATGGCTGTACATTTGACCTGCACATGTCAGAGCCTTCAGTGGGTAATTTTCTACCCTGGCAGCTATGTTCCTTGCATTCCTTCAGGCAAGCACAACAGCTGGGGAATCTGCTAATTGTCTCATCAGCCAAGCTCTGTCAAAAATAACATCAAAATAAGATGCCCCAGTTTTGGGACTGACTACTGCCCTAGTTAGTCTTTAATGTTGGCTGCTGCATCCACTTCAAACTGGAGCAAATAGCAAGTTCTCTAGTGTAATAAAAATAGAAAAGTATGCAGTAGCCTACCACAAAAAAATGCTAGTTATTTCTCATTACAAAGTGAAAATAATATCCAAAACTGACTCAGCTCTGCTGCACTTCATTAACAGACTTGACTTCAGAAGCCTGATGCTAATGTTTAGTGAATTAACTTAGCTAACTAGCAGTTTAGTAGTTCCAGGGCTGATGTTTTGGCGGTTAACTAGCTAGTATTGGTAGTGCATTTTAGCCCGTCCATTTAGAACAACATAAGTTGTGTTGTAAAAGTGGATCTGACTTACTTTCATGTCTCCGATAACAGTTTGGAAGAGCCCTCCGAGCGCGCTGCATTCCTTCTCGATAACAGCCTCCATTTTCAGGACCACCTCCAGCGGTCAGTCCCGACTCGGTGAGCCGCTCTCAGTCCGCCACCTCCCCTCTCTCTCCGGGGAAACAAAAAACAAAAAGAAAAACTCCCAAAAACTGTACCTAAAACGAAGAAAACCGATGCACAACAATGTCTACTGCTCGAAAAACAACTTTTAAGTCGGTCGGACGCGTACAGAAACGCACAGTCCGGTTGTGCTCCGGTGCTCCGCAACTACTTCAAATCAGAAGAAGCCGTCGGGACGAAAGAGAAATTTAAATCCCCCTCTCCGGTCCACGCCGCCCCGCTCACATCCATGACCGCACCGCGGAGGAAATCTTTAGCAGTCTGCCGGTCGAAACAAAAAAAATAATAATCCTGGATGTTCGGCCGGTAGCGTTATTCCCGTATCCTGACACACAGGTAAATACAGACAACCGTGGCTCCCTCCACTCCTTCACAACACTGAGAGAAAGAAGACGAGGAGCGACCGTCAAGCTAACCGGAACAAGAACAATACGTGCTTCCGTTCGACTGTTTTTTTTCATTATATCAAATTTATTGCCCATAAAGTCCAAAGATATGTGATTAACGATTGCATTTGTGTGTTAAAGCGAGCACTTAGCCGAAGTTAGCAATACAGACATTAGCATGACTGGCTACTTTTAAAGGCTATTTCTAAACAACACATTGCTGCGATATCACAATGCGCAAAACCCAGTTTTAAATCCCCGTTTATACAAGAATAGCATTGAAATTTACGTTCGGCTCAGAGTTTAAGGTAAAACTTTAAATGTATTTTTTTTTTCTGCAGCGTTTTATTTTGAAGGAGTTACAGAGGTGAGCAGCGCTTGAACGAGCGCAGTGGAGGTAGTGCGCGTTCACGAGTTATTGTGATGTTTTTCTTTTAGGTTTAAAAACAGCCTTAACCTTACTACTGAATATACTGAGTAAATTATAGCAGAAATTTGTTTGAGTATTTATACGGTATGTTTTGCTTTTCGTATCTTGCATGTCATATCCATAACGTGGATACTGTCATCAATCCTAAATCTTTATTTTTTATCTACATTTATGTATCTTTATTTTGTAATTTATTTAGAACACCTATATTACCTACAGCTTATTATTTTTATATACTTAGTGTGTATACATCTCTGTCCATACTGTAGTATTTTCTACAAACCCTTACCCAATGTACTTATATATACAGCTTGGATCTTCATTATTCTTACATACCTACATGCACTGTCTATACTGTTAATGCTGCTCATATTGTTTATGTTTTGGCACTGCCATACTGCCCTTAAAGCTATAGCATTTACACATTTTACTGCTTCTTTTGCACTTCTGGTTATATGCTAAACTGCACTTCTGTCTGTGCAATGAGAATAAAGTTGAATGTAATTGAATCTAATCTAATTAAGCAACATTTTTTTTCTTCATTGTCAGTTTTTTTCTGACTTCAAATCTGTTCAGGGTGCGATGATGCACGCAAAATATATTTAGTTGATGTGGACATTTTGTTATTTATGTATAAACATCGGATAAATATGGAAAAGCCTTAAAGCTGAGCAGGTTTAGATAACGGCTGACACCTAGTGGCCGAAATAAAGATTACAAGATAAAATCACTGCAAGGGGTGGAATATGGTGCATGGAGGATGACAAACTTCTGGAGGAATGCTCTGCCATTCTTTGGAAAGTGTTTTTCAGCTGCTCTTTGCTGGAAGGGTTGTGTTATCTTTTTCTCTAAAATACTCTGAAGATGTTCTATTGGATTCAAGTCAGCTGAGACACTAGTCCAGGTTATAGTTTCACTTTTTTCTGCTTTAGAAAGTCTTTGTTTCTTTGGATGCTTCTCATCCCAGAAAATTCCTCTTCTTCAAGCTTCTGCACACTTGGAGTTGTTTTTTGTTTTTTTTTCAGACAGCATTTTTTGGTTAATCCACACATTTATGGTGCATCTGTAAACATTGTTTGCTCAACACCTTTTGCACCTATGTAGGCCCATATCACCACACTTGCAGGTTCACACTAACCACACTGGACCCCATCTGAGCCACACAAAATTACCTTGGTGTTATCTGACCGAAGAATGTGCTTCCAATGATCTTCAGACCTCATTTTTATGTATTTTATCAAAGTTTACTTTTGCAGTTTACTACCATACATTTTTTTCTTGGATGCTGTCTATAGAGGTTAATGTAGTGGAATGTCCTGAATTCAATCTCTCTGATTGGTAGTACTAAACCCCCTGATTACTACCAGAACTGTGTTTGAACTGATATTTAGCTGTTTTACCAATCTGCCTGTACCCTTTTCCATCATGTGATGTCACACAATCAGATTTTAAAATTCCTCTTTCAACTCTTTTCCCTGTGGCACCATGATGCAGACATTCAGACAGACACTCAGATAGACACAGGCCATCGGTCCAAAACTGAGAAAGGTCCACATTTACAGGTCATTTTATAACTAGGCTTATGAAAACAGGCCATTGTATTTGAATTTGCCATATTGAGATTCTTCTTTGGGGCCTGTATTTTCAATGCTAAAGTATCTGTTTTTGATTGTTCACAAGACAAAATAATCTACTTGTCAATTTAGAAATAATGCAATTATTGAGAGGTGATGCAATTTGAAATCATTTGACATTTAAGTGATTTTCTCAGTGACATGCTCACTTTTTGCTGTATTATGTATATAAACAATATTTCCATCTAAAATGACAATTACATTTTATCATTTCACAAGCACTAAGCATTGTATTACAATACATCTTAAAATGTTGAGTTCATCAGCTTTCTAAAAACAACATGAAACATTAACATTATGCAGCAGTGATTTAATTTCATATGAGCATACGTACTGCATTTTATCTGACACAAACTAAACTTGAAGTACAAAATGTATAAATACAAATTTGTACAAAAATGGTGAAATCCTTTATGCATCCATTATCTATACACCACTTAATCCTCAGTAAGGTTTTAGGGGGGGCTGGAGTCTATCCCAGCTGACTTAGGGTGAAGGCAGGAGACACCCTGGATAGGTCACCAGTCTATCACAGGGCTACACTTAGAGACATGGAGAAAACCTATACTGCACATGGAGAGCACACAGAAAGATCACGGGTGTCCTAACCAGAATCTTCTAGCTGCGAGGTGACGGTGCTAACCACAGGGTCACTGAGCAGCCCTTGTTAGTGGAAGTGTTCCACTGAAGTAATTCTGATTTAATGTGGAATAATAACAGTTTGACTATTGTTTCATGTGTACAAGTAACTGCAGCATGGTTTGGTGTTGGGGTGGAAGGGGGAGAACAAGTATAAGCCAGCAATCCTAGACTCTGAGGAGGTACAAGGTGGCAGTGGCCATTGGGGGCTCCTTGTTTACGGCTGAGGTGGTGGGAACAAATATTTACCGACTGTGTGGGAACACTTTGGTGAATAAAACAATGACAAGTATTTCAGTTACACACTAAGCACATTCTGTCACTCCCAAGGGTACATTTTGTTATTATGTCATACTTCTAAAGGTATTGCTGCCTGTGAGGTGTTGCTACCTTAAGAGTTCTTCCTCCAGTAAAATAATTGCTAATCTGTTCCAGAACTACCGACAGAAGAGTTTTGCTGCTGTTTGTGAGTTAATGTCAAACCGTATAATAACTCTGGTCTGTGGACAGTTTAACTTTGCACCTGAAAGCACAGATGTCGAGAGTCAGAAGTGAGAAGTGGTTTTTGAATGACACGCGAAACGAATTCTGTGAACTAACAGCTTCATTCCTTTCCCACCTCTACTATTCACAGCAGAGACAAACTCAAGACGGGAACTCAAAAGTGTCCTGAGGTCATCCTGTATTTGGATTATGAGAATTGCTGATGTGTTTGTGTGTGTCAGACGCTGATGTTGAAATTCAGTCACCCTCCAAAGAAACAGGCCACACTGCCAAGAAACTGATGTAGAAGAACGGGAAGCTTTTATACTGCGACCAAACCACTTTCAGGACGTGTTTCAGGGAGCGAGGGGGAATTCTGCAACACACTAATTTGTCCACAGTGACATGAAAGTACCATTAAATCCATTTTCTGTTTGTTCCATCACACTGTTTGTGGGCTGTGTTTAACGGACTGTTAGAGTGACCAACGTGACTAATTGGCTGAATTCAGTCACCAAAGAGAACATTTGGAAACCTAAGAATGAAAACAGGACTTCACACAGCCTGTTCCCATCAGGTGCACTGAAACGCTCTCACCTGGGGATGTTGTCAACACTTGGAACAGTCTCATAAATCTAAAACTGCAGGAGGCTGGTGAGGGTCAAGTACAATCTGAAGAGCTAAGTATGATAAAGTGAGCTTCCAGCAGGGGGTCCTGTTGCTAAAGGGTCACTTCATGATGATAAGACCTTTTGTATACTGTAGGTATTTCTGGATATACTCAGTCTATATCCAAGACAACATTGTATTAAATTTTGCAGTAACAGTTTCTGCCCAAGTCATAAAATACAGAAACAGCTTTTCTACCCTCCAGCAGATAATCAAAAGGACATTCGGTTCAGGTTAGTTGTGGAACTTTGTGAGAAAATATAACAGCTGGGTCACTGTTTGAAGTCAGTATATCTGTTGAAATGTGCTGTATGCTGTCGCAAAGTCCTGGTGTGTTTGATGTGAAATATTTGACTTTGGTGACTCTTAGTGGTGGAATAAAAAAATACACCGGACAATGCACCCTGTAATTATGCAAACACAAGAGCTTTTTTTTTTTTTTTTCCTTCAAAACTTTTATTTCTGTTTTTCTAATTTGCATTTAAAATGTCAAAAACAGCAGGTGTCAAAAACAATCAAAAAATCTCAATTAGTAGTTTAATTCTTGAAACTATTTTTACATTAATGATATCTTTTATCAAAGCCTGTTGCAAACAAAAGGAATTATAACAAACAAATCGTGTACAAAGTAAGATAGTTATTGATTTTTGCAGTTTCAAAAATGCATCAACACAGTTAAATATAAAAGTCAACAACTAAAAACATACTATAACAATACATACTGAAATGATCCATCAGTCTGAAACAATGTTTGAAACACAATAAATGGCAATAGCTTCTAATTGATGAGCAGATTAAATGATTAGTTTACAGTAGAATGAAAGATTTTCTCAACCCAGAGCTTAGATAAATTTTATTTACCACTAAGTTGGGGAAGTTAGCTAAACAGGACAACACTCAGAAAGATTACACTGGTGAATAGAATTTTAATATTATTATATACTGATAAAATCAAGAACAACAAGACATTCAAATATCTGATCAAGCTCATTTTAAATAATGGCCACATAAAAACGTCCTAACAGTCATGTTAAAACTACAGTCAGTTTACAGCTGTGTAGCACCAGTTCAACTGAGAGACAGCCAATACAATCACGCTGCCTTTCAGAGTCTCTGAAACATCAAATTAATGTTCTGTTGTGCATCCTCTTTCAGCAGCATACGTAGGCACGCGTTGTTGAAATATTTCTTTGTGTGAGAGCGTGTGACTGAATGGGGCAATATCTGTATGATAAACATGAAAAACCATAACGCTGAAGCATCATTTTTATCTTACAAAATTATGCTGTCTGGTTTCAAAATGCTGCCCACAGACAGCTTTCCTTCACTTCCCCTATTCAATTTTTAATAGAATGGAAAGGAAAAGTTGCAAAACAGCAAAACTGCTGGTTAGCAACAGCAGAATCAAATTCATATTTCTACAAATGTCTATATATGTTCCTTCTACAGCCCAGTCAAAATCTGCTTCATACTGCTCACTTCAATGTCTCAGAAGATTAACTCTTATAGGAACATTATTCTCCAGGAATCTTGACAGATTCAGAAATTTGATGAAGTGTTGCTTTCTGACAAGAGATTCCCATGAAGAAATACTAAAGTGTGCACTTAATTGAGCTGGAGAGCAGTGCCCTGTCTGATGGTGCTGATGCTTTAATACACGTTGAAGTTATGAAGCCGTTGTAAAATTAGTTTGTGTTCATTTTCCCGGTTACATCCTCCACCTCTTGATGCCCATCACCATACTGCAGCCGTAGCATAGCGTCACCAAAAATGCAAATATCTGAGACAGAGAGGGAAAAATGTTAACCAACAACATAAACAACATGAAACAAAGCAAACCATATGCAGCATTTTTATACATGCTTTTAGTTTATTTCAGCCCACTAACAACATATTGTATGTAGGTACAGCCTTCACATTTCAAAAAAATGCACATAGTTATAGTTAGTTCCTCAAGCTGCATGTTTTTTGGTCAACAGGGTACATTTTTGCTATAAATGATGGCCCAACACAATCTACTGTTTCTAGCTAAAGATATTTTAACCATCCTGTTTTGTGGCCTGATAGCTGCAGCTGACAGCAGGACACTACAGATATTCTGTGACGGACACATGAACGGTCTCATTATCAAAAGGTTCTGGGAAAAAATTTGAATTTTGGAGACAGGATACTTTGAATGTGCAAATGTGTCCAGTGATCATGATAAAATAACCTTTCATCTCATAACACCTTATGCTCTATTACTTTGTATTGCACCAGAATGTCTTTTTAAAACATTTTAAGGCGTTTCCAGCCACTCCTACCACAGATTGATTCATATAGGGCTGTAGCAATTATTACATAATCACATGACTGACAATATTTAATCATGTGACATATATTTAAGCTGACTGTGACTGTCTAACATAATCCTCAGTCATTTCCATTTAACTGTATGAAAACAGCTGGATGAAACTAAGAGATATGTCATCTGTCAATTAGTGTGTACAAATACTAGAAAAGCACTACAATACCCTGTCATTAAGTGTATGTACATATATACATATGTGCATGTGTATATAGTGCTGAACAAATTTATTCGACCACCACCCAATGTCAGGTTTATGCCACAGCTGCCCTAAATTAACAGCATTGGTAATTACCAAAATCATTTTTTTTAGGATTAATACACCAGTATGTAGAAGATCTTTAACCAAAATAATCATTTTCATGCTAAAATCTAATTATTGTTATCCATGAATTTTCAAATTTACTGATTTACAAAAAAAAAAAGAGAAAAAAATTGTAAAGTACATTATTACTTCTTGACTAAGATGTCAAATTGTAGTTATTTACTTGCATTCCTTAACAGAAAAATTAGTTTTAGGGCTTGAATGCTATGCTTGATTCATTTCTGACTTCTCAGAGAAGCCCAGTGAGCCGGCTCATATTTGGTTATAAAAAGATGAATTCAGTTTGAAATTCCTCATTCCTGTAAAACGTCGAGAGCTCGCCAAAAGTAAAGCAGTAAAGCATTTCATGATGCTGGATGGTCTGTGGTCAGGTATGAGTCAATTGCCGAGATGAGTACTTAGAAAATGCTCCAAGGAAGAGCCAGGAAACGAAAGTTAACTGTAGCACGTCAGACACCTCATGATTTTAAGTACTAGAGACAGATGGAAGACCACTGCTGATCTTCAGGCAGAGATGAATGCTTCTAGATTAGAGTCTGAGAAAGTCTCCAGAATGACCAGAAGCAGACGACTGATGGAACAAAGCTTAAAGGGAAGAGTAGCAGCTAAGAAGTCATTATTGAGGCCTGTAAACATCCAGAAATGCTTCAAGGAGCACAAACACTCATCTGTTTATAGCTGGAAGAAAATATTCTGGACGGACAAGTCCAAGTTTGACCTCTTCGGTCAGCATCATCATGTTTATGCCCGCAGAAAATCTAGAAAACGTTTTGATGCCAGATGCTTTGCACCCACGGTGAAACATGGTGAAGATTCTATTATGGTATGAGGTTCCACTTGTGGAAACTGTGTGGGCAAATTAGCGAAAATCGATGGTATCATTAACAACGTCTACCACAACACCTTAGTGCATCATGGAATCCGTTTTGCACTGAATCTGATTGGTCGTGGGTTCATACACCAACAAGACAATGAGCCCAAGCAGACTTCAAAGCTGTGCAGAGACTATCTGACCAAGAAAAAGGAATCTGGAGTACCGGAACTGATGGACCGGCCAAGTCAAAGTTGAATCCTATTGAACAAATTTGGGATGTGGTCCATTCAAAAATTGATCGCACAAAAGTTTCATCTTTATATCTTCATCTCAATAACAAAAGAGACATAAAGTACATAAAAACAATGCCTTTGTCACTTTTGTATCAGCTTGTTCTATGAGGTACAATCAAAAAGTTCCAATATTCCCCAAATATAGCCTCACTTCACTATGATATTACAATAATAATAAGATATTACTGTATACAATACAAAAATAATACAATATACACAGTATAAATACTACTTCTGCAATAACTTGGAACAGGTGATTTATTAGCTTTGTAGCAAAAAAAGTGGTGTTCAAGAGCGCTAATCTAATGCTATAGCAGCATAAAATGACAAACAATGAAAAGACAAAATATCAATAATTTACAAATATTTATATGACTATTAATGGTCAACAAAAATGTCATAATTGTGACAGCCCTAGGTTCATATTCTCTCAGACACTGCCACCCTGTGAGTGCACTATAAAAACCATGAATTCAAATCCACAGGTCACATGTACATTGTATGCAATATCACGTTAACGTGAAGAGACTCACTCACCGTGGCTGCCACATTAATATTGTATTGTGTTCCACTCAGGACTGTAAATATGTTGCCTCGAGGGTAGGTTATGCACAGGACAGCTTCAGTGCTGTTTGGCAGAGGATTGATGTGAGCTCCTCCATTTGCTGCTGTAGTTGCTACCTCTAACACAAAGGCAGCAAAGTAGAACAGCAAGGCTGTGAAATGGTAAACCGCATCCTGGGAAAAAAGAAAAATTCGACTTTAGATTTCAAGTGTAAACAATGACGGCCATTTGTGTTTTTTCCACCAGTGATTGGGAATACAGAATAACCCACATGTGATTATGTAAATGGTAAATGGTCTGCACTTATATAGCGCTTTTATCCAAAGTGCTTTACAATGTGTTTCTCATTCACCCGTTCACACACACATTCATACACCAATGGTGACAGAGCTGCCATGCAAAGTGCTGCCTGCCATTGGGGGCAACTTTGGGTTCAGTTTCTTGCCCTCGGACACTTCAACTGTGGAGGGGCGGGGGATCGAACCTTGCGACTGGAGGACAACCCGCTCTACCACCTGAGGCACAGCCACCATGATTGTGTATCAGAGATCGACTAACAATTGGCCCAACTGATTAATGACGCTGATATTTGGCATTTTTATATTTTTGATATCGTTATTTTTACTGACTGAATATCGCAAAATAACTTAAATGTACTCTTCTGACCCTGATTTAGCTCACTCTCTCTCTGTAATCAGGCTGTGGTCCACAGCTCTATCTGATTGGCTGTTTTATGTCACGAGTAGCAGTCACTCACAGCGATTGTTTACACAGAGAGACAGATGAGCTCTTCAGCAGAGCAGAGCAGCTACAGAAAATTAACGGGGCAGTGTTTAGGAGCAAGCTAGCAAACGCTGCTGAAGGTTTAATAAACACCACAGTCTTCAGCAAGCATTCGTAGTGTTACACAGAAAGACCCCAAGACTTCCCTTTTAAGTGTTAACAAGAAGTGCAGCTAAAACGTAGTCTGCTGACAGTGCTAGGCTAAAGCTAACACTGCGAGGTTAGCTGTGCCTCTTTGCATGTGACTAACACTATTTGCATCACATCTTTAGGAAGTCAGAATAACACTAGTTCTAACTGACAGACATGTCTCTCTGCAGAGACACAACCTGCAAAAACTGAACAAGAAGCACAAACAACTCCACAAATGAAGACATTAGCTTCTTTTACAGTGGCTAATATTACGCTAACAACTAGCAGCTAACTTAGGAGGTAGCCACAGATTACCCTGAAACAGGGAAATAGGAAATATTGCTTTAAGATCTGGACCTCAGTAGGTAATAAAAAGAGTAGAGCAGCAGACAGAACTGTAGGAGACAAACTGTTATTAATCTTAACCGATTGATCAGTAAACAGGAAAGCTTCGTAGCGTCACTTGATCCTCAAATGTCGTCACTCAAACTCCTTTGTACATTTTCAGGTATAGTCCTCATCATTGTTGAAGAATCCTAGCTATAAATGGCAGGTTCTGTGTTAGCACATGCTGTTAATAAATAACTTTTAAGGTATATATATATATATAATAGTAATCAATATAAACGAACAAACCTAGTAATGAATGACACGTTCCTTGTTATCACATGCCGTTAATAAATAACTTTTAATGTACATTTTAGATATTGGTTATCTGCCTCTCTCAATTACCGATAATCAGCTTTGACATCAGCCCTAAATAAAGCATATTGGTCAGTCCCTAGTGTGTATCAGACTGCTTGCTGCGGTTACCTGAGCTTTGGCGTTCACATAGCAAACCCTCAATCTGTCAGAGAGTCAACCCTTAATTTAACTGGCAGTGAGGCAGAGCAAAGTAGACGAGACAACAGGAGACTTCAAAATACAAGAATGGAGAAGTGGTTTAGAGTGAAACTTCAGGAAAGAATAGTGAAAGAAAGATGCAGAAAAAGAAATTAAAGACGCAGAGGGCGAAGCCGGACAGAGTGAGGAAGGTTAATGACAGTTTGTGTTGCCTGCTGGGACTACAGGAAGGCCTTTGTTGTGTTTCAGTGTGAGCTCATCATCCATGTCACTCATTGTTCGGCTGAAAACAAACAACCCCACACGCCTGGTAACTCCTGGGAGCAGAGCCTGGAGCCTGAGGAGAGGCCGCTCTGTCTGAGAGCCCAGACTGAACTCAGACTACAGTCCAGTACAATCAAACAGCACCAGAACATGGCACAGAGTAGGAGTGAAGCCTAAATGTGCACACATGCAGACATCTTAAGTCATTTCTCCTCAAATGTGTGTTGCGGTTATATCAGATTGTTGAAGTGAGTCATTTAGAGATGAGGAAGTGATTTTTATCGTTGAGTAAGTTACATAAAATGTTCTATGATGCAACAAGAGCACCAATAAATCCTACAGGACAGCTAGTAAATACATGACCGGCCTCACGTTGCAATTAGATTATTTTAACAAGGAAATAATTTGTTTTGTAATGAGGGAGACAAATCATTGAAGCAGTTACTGTTGACTTTTTCTTCCCTTTTAATGTTGATTTTATGCTTTTTAATATTGTGTGGAAAAATCATTCTTTATCAAAGTACACACATGGATACTGCACTGATGCCTGATGAGATTTAATACATGATGTAGGTAACAGAAGTTGGGCTGCAAATGATAATTATTTCCATTGTCAGTCCATCAGTTGATTATTTAGATATAAATATTCATTTATTATTGTCATAGTATTATTATATATACACATCACAATGAACTGACTAGTTGTTTAGTCTATAAAAATTGTTTAAAAAAAAAAACATCAATCAGTGTTTGCCAGCAAGCCCAAGATGACGTCTTAAAATGTCTTTTTTTGTCCACAACCCAAATATATTCAGTTAACTGTAACAGAAGAGTAAAGAAACCAGACAATATTTAGATTTAAGAAGCTGGAATCTGGAGTTTTTTTGCTTTTTTTTCTTTTAAAAAAATTACCCAAACCGACTAAACAACTATAAAAAATAGCTGATTATTAAACAATTAGTTGACAACCAACTGGTGAATTATTTCGGCTCCTATAAGAAGTGCCTTGCAGTGGTGGGTGAGTTTCTTTTTGCTCCTGTGTAACAACAATAAATATAATTTACAAGCAGTCACAATGACAAAATCTAATTATTTTATAACATAATAACATCCAACCAGTCACTACACTGTATATTAGACAGCCGTATTTCAGTAATGTGCATTAGTACACACCATCAGGCTGGCGTCCAACTTTCAGTCATTGTTTGATATGTAGACACTTCACAAGCTGAAATACTACCGGTGGAAGACCGACGTGCAGTTTTGCAGCTCCGACAGTCACCAAAGCAACAGTTGCTACCACAATGTTTTTATCAAACACTGACATTCATGGTAAATTTCAGTGTGACAGCAACAGCTGTCTGTTTAAAATCACTGTCAGTGGTTTCATTGTGCTTTATGACATGCTTTTCATAAGTCCTGGTGTTTCATAAATAAATGTTAAATATATGTACTTACATAAATTAGGGTTGCAATGTCTCTAATTTAACGATTTTTGGACACCGCAAGTTTTTTTGTTCACTCTATACACAAAACACAGAGTTCATTGACCTGCAGGCTCCATGTGTGCACAACAACACGAGCAAGGAACATGAGAGAAACATCGAAACAGCAGATTTGGCTGCAAAAAGCAAGGCAACATCCACTGTGTAGATGCTGCAGAAAGAGCAGTGTTGACTAAAAACAGGTTCTCCGCCTCGTAACCGTTGCACTTTACGAAGCAACACAACTGATTCGTTTGACCATTTCAATCAGCACCACAAAGCTCCGTCTGCTGAGTGCAAATCCAGATCTGAATGACATTCCAAGCAAACTTTGCCAGTGCCACACCACGCTTAACAACTGAAATGATGCACTTTTTTACAGAAACACCCGAGTCTTTCTAGAATGAGTCAGTATTTCCAAACTGAGTGATTCAATTCATCTGGGATAAATTGCAGAATTTTTTCATAGTGCAATATATATATATCACAAAAAAAGAAAGCATTGCAATGTCCGTTTCCTCCTGAACATTACTCGTCCCATAGCCCACCCCCCCCCCCAAAAAAACGAAATGCTGCTTTTAAACTGTAATTGTTTGATTTGAATACGGTCTATTTTAGTATTTCTAGTTACAGTGGAGCTGCATTGTATACCCAAAATGTACTAAATCCCAGTTTTTAAATGATCAAAATCAATATATCACATAAGTAGTGTATTTGTGAAATACAGTTACCATAAAAAATATTCAAATCTCTAACAGAAATCTACACCTTCCAGACAGATGAATACACAGGTAGCACAGCCAGCTAGATTCATGGACAAACACACAGACAATAGGTTGATGGAAAAGTAAGAATCTGGGCAGCAAACCGACAAACTCATCAACAAATTTATCTCCATCTTTCTTACCAGGAAGTTCCAGTCGGTGTTGATGCGATCAGCCAAACCCGTGACGAGCAGAGTGAGGTAGGCAGCGGAGAGGAAGAAGGTGGTGACGGACACGAACATCACCCAGCCCTGCAGCAGAGGAACGGGCACGTTGGAGGAGGCCACCAGGATCCATACGAGCCCTCCGAAAACCTGGGACACAAACAGACACTCTGGCTGGTGACACATGCAGGTAACAGCTAAAATTTAACTACTTAATCCTCAGAACCGCCTGCACGGATCCATTTAATCATTCACTAAGACTCATTTGCACGTTTACAAACCTCTCAGCTTAGAATCCCTGCAGACACCTGATCTCCATCTGATACGTCTCAATGTCCTTGTTTCAAAACCAGAAACAGACTAAACTGGTTTGGGTGGCAAAATCAAAAAACAAAAAACAAAAAAAACACACCCTGCTTTTAGCTTTATGGCGGTTCCTTATTTAGTCTGGGAACCAAAATCTGAAACTAGATTTTTTCATTTGTAACCACAAATGAAATTAAACAAATAAAGAAATAAAAATGGCTATTCAATAAAGTGTGACATTATGCAAACACAGGATCTGCACCAGACGAATGAAAATAGATAGATAGATAGATAGATAGATAGATAGATAGATAGATAGATAGATAGATAGATAGATAGATAGACCAACGACGGCAACACAGAGATGGTTTTTGCTCTGTTTTCTCACTTATACATTCAGACAAAAGCTAGATTAAAACTGATTAAGAGTTGTTTAGGTTTGATGCTCTAATTTTTTATTTGAAAAACAGAAAAAAGGAACTGTCAAAAAACAGAAATAGACCAGGTTTTTTTAAATCCCTTTTGTCATTTTTCAACTGTAAAGGAATTACTCGATGACACAGAGGCTCTCCTTTTTCCCAGATCTTAAAGTCTGATTACATCACTGCATGCAAATCAGAGAGATCTCTGAGGTCACGTCAGGCCAGAGATGACGAACAAGCCTTCTCTTTGCTTCCACTTGTTTTGGACAATTGACTAAAACAAGTGGAGGTTTTATGGTTAGAAATTTAACTCTAGATTATGTACTATAGGCGCTTTTTGCTGTGGCACTACAACTATTTAAATGAGCACCTGAAGGCCTTCAGCTGCAGAGGAGGCCTCAACATAAATAGTAGAATAAGCTCATGATCAGAGGTAACATGTAAAGGCAGTGTAGAGGTCACCTTGCAGGACTTATGATAGTTTAATAATACTGGCACTGCACATAGGAACAAGAACATATCCATGAATTCCTCTTGACCTCTTTAGAAATAGAGTCAAACCATAGATATATTTTTAAATTGTATTTTTTTGACACTGTGACAAATCAAGAGTCAGTGCTGAAAACACAGCCTGGAGCAACAACTGCCTTTTTGCTTTGGTTTAAACACAACCAAAACAAACAAACAAACAAACAAAAACGCTGCAGCCTGAAGGTGATCAGACAGACCAGTGAGGACAACTAAAAGTCCAGCTGCACCTCCACAGCTAAAGTCCATCAATTATTGATAAAGAAATATTAACTGAGCAGACACCGAGGCCAGTGACCCACGCATGACTATAACCGAGCCACGGGGGAACCTTTTTTTTCTTTTCTTTTTGTTGCGTGAGACTTACTATTTCTAAGCAGACCAGAACTCCGGAGTAGGTCCTCAGAACCTCCAGGCCCAGGGGCAGAGACAGGGTGGGCGCCGGGAAGGAGGTGGCCGCGGGGTTGGTGGCTGGTTCCGACATCTCTCCTCGGTCTGTGTCCCCTCTCCTCTGGCTCTCAGCCGCCGCCTCCCGCTCTAGAGGAGCCGTTAAACAAAGGACGGGAGCAGCGGCAGGAATTCCTCCGGAGTCATGTGTCCCTCCTCCGAACAGGTCGGACAGGTGCACGGCCACTCCCTGCCGCCGGTGCTGCGTTCAGGGACGCTCCAACATCCGCACGCCCACCCTGCTCGGTGGATAAAACTTCCATACACGGTGTAAGAAAGTCTATAAAGTTGAAGGAAAATTTATCTCAAATTGTTTTTTAATCTACAATGAGATGATTATTAAAGATGCAAAATAATAAATTGACAATTAAAACTTTATATCGTCTTTCAAAAAAAAAAGATTTCTGCTTTAATTGTATCTTATAATAATTGACCTTGTTATTCCATGATGACAAGTGAATGCATCTCACTGATATGAACAGGTTGAGTAATGACAATAAATTTCATTCTGAATTAAAAGAATACTTTTATGACTCCGTACTGTTTGCATCCTACTATGGGCATGGCAGTATATCAGATCTGCCATAAAACACCCGAGGGAGTGTTAGACCTCCACTCCTTGACGCCTTTAGGTTGTCTTTTATGCACTCCACACCCTCAATGTCAATTCTAGGTGGCTCTGTGATGTAGAGGTTAGTGCTCAGCTTCTTATTCTTCTTTTTTTTGCGTGTGTAACACCAAGTGAAGGCAGCAGCTTAACTCACACTGGATCACTCTGTTGGGCCACTTGTGTGCAAACAACCACCAGCAGGGAAATTCAAGGAGACACCACTTGATGAGTTGTGTCAGGACAGAAATCAGGACTCAGGAACAACGGTGTGTGTTCTGGTTAACCTTCACAGAGCAAACATGTGCAAACATTAGGACTCCAGTGAGGAGAAGTGATTTCCAAAGCTGCTCCACAACAACAGCCCCCATGTTGGACGGTCATTTTTTATTTTGTTTTTTAAATCAAAAAGTAAAACTGTCCACTTGTTAAGTCAGCTGGTGGAGAGCGTTTTACTGTTCTGACCCTTAGTTAATGATTTGCCAGGATTTGTGTTCTGTGCGCCAGTATTGATATAACCTCTGGAAGGGCACCGTTCAGTTTACTGTGGCAGCAGTTAGAATCAATATCACCGCTATAAGGTCCATTCACGTGATGTCACTGCTTATATGACTGACTCTGCTGGAAATCTTTCCCATGCCTGGTGTTTTGCGAGGATCCTAACAATGGAGGGGAGGGGAGTTTAGGGAAGCACATGTCTGACCCGGTTCTCTGTGCACAGAAAGACTTTTGGCACAGTTGGCCTCATCTGTGGAACAGCAAGAGACCAGAATTCTGTCGTCCTCTGGTGTAAATGGTCGATTCAATAAAACTGTGCTTAAAAATCATAGAATTGAATCTTTTATCTCTTTTAGAAGAAAACTTTCAGACAATTTTTGTTTTTTTTGTTGTGAAATTAGTAATAAAAGCAGGAGCAACATATTACAAAAATAACTTTCTGGCAGTGGAGCCACCAAAAAAAAGCCCCTCTGTAAAATAACAGTAAATAACATCACATAAAAATACAGTAATTTCCTATAATTCAAGTACATTCCAGAATGTAACCATAAATTTAAATGTTTTTTTGTGTATTTTTTTAATTGTTTTTT